AAAAAGTTTACAGCTTATAATCGAATGGCAGCAAACTATAAAACTTTATAATCCTCAGACACTAATTACACCCCGAAAAAGGCACTTAAAGATATAATTTCCTTTACAAGTTATTTTATCAGGTTAGATCTAATGAGGTATTGACACGGCAGATAATTAATGGTATCGAGAACCTTTTAAAAACATCTTACAAGACGTTTTAGTGTAAGGTATTGCTCCAAATGGCTTGTTTATTCGAAAGCTGCCGGCTACAACTAGCAGATCATTAATCAAAACGTATCCTGAAAGCCATCCAGAACGGCTCCGCAAAATGGCCTTTTTATTTAATATGTGTTTAATATCGAGAACGGATATTTCTTCATCATTGGGTGAGTTTTCGGAATGGAACACGAGTAATGGCAACTTACGCTAGAAGTGCCCGGGTTTGGACGGAAAGCGGAAAATCTAAATCTGGTGTCGATTTTAACGTTCAATAAAAACCAATTTTGAAATTGCTACAGCAACTGGAAAATTCCTAAGCAGAAAGTGGCTTTGAATTTACACTATTTTCCAAATTATTATTTTAATGCTTGCTATATCAGCCCGCCAGCTAACTTACACAGAATTAATTTTTCCGGCGTTAGCCGAACTAAAATTTGATTCAGATTCCAAATGCGCATTTAATTAGTACCTAATTCCGTTTGCATATTGTTGGTGAGCAGTCGCTTTCTCGACGGAATTTGCACGTATTTGACATGGGAATTCGCTCTAAATTTTCCACTGGTCCAGCCATTCTGAAGCGTACAATTTACATATAAAGCTAAACATCTATAAAAAATAATAGAACAAATACAAATCAATGAACTAAGTTCAACAAAAAGCTCGTGCGTCGACACTCTGCAAATTATTTAAAATGAAATCGGCAAACTTTCAAATACCAGCTACCAGTTTGAAGATCATGCTAATTGGTCTTGCCTTACAAAGATGTAAAGGAGGAATAAGAAGTAATATTAAATTAGTTTAAAATTCAGTGCACTGTTCTTTGAGAAATTCAAAACTTGAAGAAAATTGAAAAAAAAGTACGCTAATATTCGCCTTTTGCATCGAAAAGCATTAAAAATATTAAAGTGAACTATTTAGCTAATTTTATTGTAGAATTAGTTGATAAGATTGGCGTACTAAAGCTTGAATCATTTTGTAAGCTTTGAATATCTCAGTTCCAGGTAAGATATTTTCTAATATTTCGTCTCTAGTTTTTAATCGTGTAACATAAATACACTATTTTTAGAGTTAGTAGAACATACTGGTACATCTGCATAAATGTAGCAGGGATAAACTGGGTAATTCTCAAGAAGAAAGAAACACATTTTTCCAGTTCTATTTTTCCATCCGCGCTTTCCTTTACAAGATGCAGAGTATACATTTTTTTATTTATTTTTGGTTTTCTGGAAATATCTTAGGATCCAAGTGAACTATAGCTGTTCAACACAACTATAGCTTACATTTGACTGTAAATATTTTCTTACTCGGTAATCCGATTTGAATAAGTTTTATAGCAAATTATAGATATGTTGTTGGATAAAATGTAGTTTATAATAGACGCAAATAATTAATAAATTTTCAGTGCCGGGGGTTTAAATAGTGTAATGTGGTTTTGGTCAGAGTTTAAATTCTTCTGCTAATTAATTCTGCGGGCAATATCTACATGCTACATGTCTGATGATCTATCTGCCTGATATGATGTCTTCTCAGCTATTAGGAGATTCTATTGTCTATTTATCTTGACGGGAAATATAATTTTGTTATAAGCGACCACATTTTTCGTTCGAAATTTATTCAAACTTTTCTGTAATATGCAAAATAATTTTTACAAATCAAATTTGACACTAGTATACCACACTGTAAAATATATATATTTTGTTTTTTATTACTTAAAATTGGTTTAAGATAGAGCTATGATTTGTCAGTCAAAAATAGATCATTTTAAGGTTTGTGTTAAATTTGTAACAACGTTAATAAAAATGTTTGTGAATCCACGTCGAATTAATTAAATCTGCAACGGATGAAAATTTTAAAGTATCGTAAGCAATAGGGTTATTATAATACGATTAATTTTAGGGCAAAAAACCAAGCACACTCTTATTGTGTTATATTCATTGATGCTTCAATGTTTGCTCTCAAAATGCTAGTTTTCCAATGGATTATAAGCTATTTAAAAAATTGAAAAGAAAAGCTCATTCCTGCAGTTCAAACGGTTCCTAACATATTGGTAGATTATTGAGAATTATTTCATTTTTGACACGCTTTTGTATTGAAAGAAATGAAATTGAAAAAAAGTGTTTTTTATTTCAAAAGACCCTGAACTCTGAAGAAATATTTTACTTAGTTTTCCTAATTAATTTGAACAAGCGAATCCAGGTGACACTATGGAGATATACTAATGTTTAACAGATAAAAGCGAATAATTGGAAATTATGGTAATTTTTTGAGTACAAGATTTATTAGTTCCAACTGCATTTTTTAATGGTTTGCGAAGTATTCAGCTGGATGAATGGTAAATTCACTAGATATGGGGCTCACTTTAACTTTAAATATTGTAGGGAGGAATAAATTTAGAAACTTTTCAATCGAACAATTGATTTCCATCTGACCGCAAATCTGGTGGTGAGTAATTATTATAACTGGGCGTTAAAAAGTATGATCTTCTGAAAACGATTTGCATATACCTGACTATCTCTTTTAAATGTGCATGACACATGTTAACTGGATAAGTTCTATATTGTTGAAGCGGATTCATTTTTTTACAAACTTCTTTTTGGGTATTTCGCCTCAAAAATTTTTGCCTTTAAAAAAGACAGAATTTCCTCACGTCTTTTATTACAGATTGATAGATAGTGCTCCTATTTCGCAATAAGAACGAATTATTTAGCAAAAAGTAATCAAGAACTATCACCTAGAGGGTATCCTGCGACACACTTAGGCTCAAGCTATAAGAGAAAATTCCAATTAGTAGAGAAATTAATTTGAGAAATTACCTTGACGTTTCGATAGCTATTTTCTGCTATCGTTATCAAAAGAACCTAAATGAACCTAAAAAAGAGTATGTTAATAAATTGTATAACAATAGTAGGATAATATAATATATCAAAATTCGCTCTGATAATTCGTTTGTGCGTGCCTAGAAAGCCTAGAAGTGTCGCGACACACTTAGGCTCAAGCTGTGAGAGAAAATTCATAGACATAAATCCAAACCATATTCTAGTAAGTTTTTATGTTGTTAGTCTATTCACTAACGTTCCTGTTGATGAAACTTTAAATATCATCAAACAAAAATTACAGAATGACACCAATCTTAAAGAACGCACACAACTAAGCATTAACACCATTATTGAACTTTTAAAAATATGTGTAAAGTCAACTTACTTTCAATACAATGACAATTTTTATCAACAACATTTTGGAATTGCTATGGAGTCACCACTATCCCCATTTTTTAGTAATTTATTTATGGAAAATTTTGAATCAACTTTCATTAATAATTACAAATTTAAACCAATAATTTGGTGGC